AGAAAAAGGTATTTCATGAAAATGAAACAAAACACAAAAGCTGAGGTAGCGATACTTATACTAGATAAAGGAGACTTCTTTTAATAGTTTATTTTTTATTGTATTTTTTCATTACCATTTACCGCCCCCCCTTACACTCTCCTCTACCTTCCCTCATCCTCTAAGGCTACAACAAGAGACAAAGAAGGGCCCAACAACTGTACTTCTGAGTATTTATCTGAAGTAACCCAAAACAGTGAATTGAAAAAGCATATACATTCAAATGTTTATTGTTCCACTATTTAAAATAGCCGAGATATGGAAGCAACCCAAGTGTCCATCAACAGATCAGTGGATAAAGGAGTGGTGCATATATACAATGGAATATAATTCAGTCATAAAAAAGAATGCATTTTTGCCAACTGTAACAACATGGATGGAACTAGACAGTATTATGCTAAGTGAAATAAGTCAGACAGAGAAAGACAAGTGCCAGATGATTTCACTTATATGTGGAATCTAAAAAAGAAACAAGCGGAACAGAAACAGACTCATAGATACAGAAAACATTCTGATGGTTGCCAGATGGGAGCGGGTTTAGGGGGCTGATGGAAGAGGTGAGGGGATATTAGTGGTTACAGAGTAGTCACATGAATGTAAAGTACAGCATAGGAACGATAGTCAATAATATTGTAATAACTATGTATGGTGTCAGATGGGTACTAGATTTGTTGAGGTGATCACTTCATAAATTATATAATGTCTGATGGGACTGTACATCTCAAAGTAATAGAATATTGTACATTGACTATAATTTTAAAATAATACAAATTTAAAAAGATAGGCCAACTAAATTTGCAAGCTACAAACTTGAATGACTTCTCGAGGTTTCCCGGGGAAAATTTCACTCATTTCTTTTGTAGGCAATATATCTTTTCTGTGTGAGTCTGAATTAAGAGATATTTCTTGCTCTTGTCAATATTTCTGAAAATTAGTTTGGAAAATACAATAATCTTAGAGGACAACTAGTAAAAGAACATTAAAAAGCTCAAGTTAGTCATGGTAACCAAGGCCCCAATAAGAAAGAGATGAACTTTTAGGTCAATAACATGTCACACTTTCTAACCCTTTTTTGAATCATAGACCTTAGAGAGATAAACTTTGAACTCCCTCTTACAGCCTCACACACCAATAAGCATTTATGTATACATACATTTACATACAAAATCAAAGGTGAAAGAATTATTTCCCTTGGAGGATTTTCTAAGTTTTAGTTTTTACAGTTATCTTTGTCATCTGTACAGCTGCCTTGGGGAGAACTAGGGTGGAGTGACAACTCTTTTTATCCAAATAAAGAAAGAGCACAGTGGCATAGTTGAAACAAAAGTGACGTGTAATTCTCAGATGATTTCTCTTTGATCTTGTAAAAGATTAAAAAATAATCTTTTTTAAATATTATTTTTTTTTGCCTTGTGCTAATGTTGAAATCTGTGCTTTGTGAGACTACACCAGTTGTGGGTGAGCCATATATTTAGTAAGTTGCTGGGGCAGAGCCAGCTTGAAATTAAAATGTGCTGTGGACTTGGACTTCCGGCCAAGATGGAGGTATAGGTAGAAACACTGTGCCTCTTTGCACAACCAAAATTAAGGACAGTAAAGATTTAGAAACAAAACACAACCAGAACTGACAGAAAACTGAACTGTACAGAAGTCTGACAACCATTCATCCAGACCTGTAAGAGAGGTGGAGTTGGTGGCCAGTGGAGAGAGGTTGCAGCAGGAAAAAGTGGTGGTTGGTGGTCCTGGGACCACAGGCAGTGGCTGGCAGACCCCAGGCACATGGAGGCAATGAGCAGACCCAGTGAGGCACGCAAGGCGGCTGGCTGACCAGGCAGTCCATGTACAGATAAACCAGACAAAAATGGGGAGCGAGGCAGACTGCGCAACCCAGAGCCCCAGCAACAGAAAATAAACCCAAAAGGTACCGATTGAAAACACTTGTGGGGTTGAGGTTGCAAGAGAGACTCCCAGCCTTACAGGAGAGTTTGTTGGAGAGACCCACAGGGTCCTAGAACATATACAAGCCCACCCACCTGGAGCCAGCACCAAAAGGGCCCAGTTTACTTGTGGGAAGCAGCAGAGGGGACCACATCTGAGAGAAAGCAGAACAAATGCCATTGCTCCCTCTCTGACCCCATCCCCACATACAGCAACACGACCCAGTAACTGGGTAGACCTGCCCTGGTGAAAACCCAAGGCTCTGCCTCTCATTCATAACAGGTGTGAACAGACCAAAACATTATATCTGAAATAGAACAGATCGAAGCTCCAGAGCCAATACTTCTAAGTGACCAAGAGACAGCCAACCTATCAGATACACAGTTCAAAACACTGGTGATCAGGATGCTCACAGAACTGGTTGATTTTGGTCACAAATTAGATAAAAAAATGAAGGCTACTAAGTGAAATAAAGGAAAATGCACAGGGAATCAATAGTGATGGAAGGAAAACTGGGACTGAAATTGGTGGAGTGGACCAGAAGGAAGCAAGAAACAACCAAACAGAAAAGAATGAAGAAACAAGGATTAAAAAAAGTAAGGAGAAGCTTAGGAAACTCCAGGACATCTGTAAACATTCCAACATCTGAATTATAGGGGTACCAGAAGGGGAAGAGGAACAGCAACAGGTGGAAAAGTTATTTGAACACATAATAAAGGAGAACTTCCCCAATCTGGCAAAGGAAATAGACTTCCAGGAAATCCAGGAAGCTCAGAGGGTCCCAAAGAAGGTGGGTCCAAGGAGGAACACACCAAGGCACATCATAATTGCATTAACCAAGATTAAAATGAAGGAGAGAATCCTACAAGCAGCAAGAGATAAGAGGACAGTCACCTGCAAAGGACTCCCCATCAGATTGTCAGCTGATTTCTCCAAAGAGACCTTACATGCAAGAAGGGACTGGAAAAAAGTATTCCAAGCCATGAAAGACAAGGACTTACATCCAAGATTGCTCTATTCAGCAAAGCTTTCATTTAGAATGGAAGGACAGATAAAGTGCTTCTCAGAAGGAGTTCATCATCACCAAGTGCTTATTATATGAAATGTTAAAGGGACTCATCTAAGAAAAATAAGATAAAAATATGAACAGTAAGAAGAAACTCACAGATATTAAAAACCACACCTAAAACAAAAGTAAACTAAACAAACTAGAACAGGAACAGAACCACAGAAATGGAGATCACATGGAGGCTTATCAACAGGGGAATGGGAGGAGGAGAGAGGGGGAAAAGGTACAGAGAATAAGTAGCATAGATGGTAGGTAAAAAATAAACAGGGGGAGGATAAGAATAGTATGGGAAATGTAGAAGCTAAAGAACTTATGACACATGGACATGAACTAAAGGGGGGAATGTGAGTGGAAGAGGGTGTGGAAGGGTGGAAGGGTGGAAGGGAATGAAGGGAGAAATTGCAGGGTGGAAGGGAATGAAGGGAGAAATTGGCCAACTGTAATAGCATAATCAATAAAATATATTTAATAAACATGCTGCAGATGGTCCACAAAGTGTATGCAATATATGTGGATAATTACAAGCTTTCAACAGGTTTTTATGTATTAATAAGCATTTATTTCTAGGAGAAATCTGAGCACATTAAAAAAAGCAGAGTAATTTTTACATATATAGATACATTTTTCCACAGCATGCATATAGATATTGAAGGGTGGCTACAAAAATCCAGGTTTTTTGGATCTTCTATATTAGAGGTATATTATTCTCTGCTGTAGCATGGTACAGAGTGAAAGAAATGGTTTGGCCTCTCTGCCCACCCACCTTGTATGTTTCTCCCCATTCCTCTGTTGGCACTTTATCATCTCAACTTCTGAAGACTATTTTAGTGTGGGTCTTATTCAATGTGTTGTTCTGAAGAATTCTCAGTGGGCACCCTTAAGTAATGCCAAGTCTGATTCTTATTTAGGTCAGGGCTGAGCAAAGTTTTAAAATAAATGAAACCATTTATAAAGGTTTATTTTGCTAATGCTTATATCAGTCATTCACTGTTACAGCCACATTCTCCTGTAGATATTACTAACAGTGCTTTATGAAGTATAAATCAGGACTCTAGGTGGTTGAGTAAATTGTCCCATGCCACTCAGGTTGTAAGTGGCAGGTCCAACTATCTGCACATTTATATTCTCTTTGTGTATCTTTAGTTTCAGCTTCAAGCAGTGTGAAGGGTAAAGTAGATGCTCAATTAATACTTAGTGAAAGTTGTTTGAAGGATATATCTAACTTCAAAGCTGCACTGGTTTCCTGATGTGGAATCTAGCCCAGCATACTGCCATTCATCACCCTCTGGTCTGGACTGGATATTGAGCTTCTGTGCTCTTGGAAGCAGAGAGGTAAACTAGACAACCCCAGCTGGAAACTTCATGTCCTAGAACCTATAAAATTGAATGACTTCCTTACTCCTAACTAATAAACATTCTTTGAAGTTGTAAATGCAATGATTTAAGACATCGACATATACTTTTTAGGTAATAACATGTCTGTTAATCAAATAATAATAGGTTTAAAAATATACCAAAAAGTAGCTGAGCCATTTATATCCTGGCATTTCATAATCTGAAATATATTTTGCTAGAAATATCTAGAAGAATTAGGAAATATTAAGTGTTAATATTTTATAAATACATTAATCTTTTTTTCTTACTGATGATGATTTCTTAGTCCTTGAAAACATTAAAGTAATTGCAAGCAGCTTTCATTTTCTGTGAAAATTCAAAGCAACATTCTTATGTTTGATATTTATTTCAGCTTTATAGTAGTATCTATATTAGAAAGTTCTAGAGCGACTTCTTGTTATGTTTTGAAGACAAGAACAATCAGTGATACTATACTTATTTTTAATATAGTAAGCTTATTTATCATTGGTTATTGCAGTTAGTAGTACAACTCTTAAATCCCTGGAATTTTTCAATGTTTATATAAAATGGCATACACTGAGGAAGTTACCAGACTTACGTTTCTTGAAGATACTGAATTCTTTTTGCCTTGGTTGTTGATTGAATTATAAAATAAAAAAACCCCTAAAACTAAAAGAGATGTTTAAAATTAAATTATTGCTGTTTAACTACATTACTTTTTTATATTTCCATTTCTTAATTAATGAGTTTGGCAAAATTATTGCCTGAATGATGAACGAATTAATGGTAAGAAATACAAATGAGAACAAAATGTCTGTCCATGGAATTCTACATTTATGATTCATTGTAGTGGTGCTTGCTATCATCATTTATGCTCTTGGATGGTCATTTTAGGAGGCAGAGATAGGGAATGCTTGTCATAAGTTTAGCTTATTGGCTTCTAAACAAGGAACTAGATAGAGTTAGATGTGCCCTTGTTTGTACCCACATCTTATCATTGACTTTAAGGTTCTGGAATAAGCTTGAAAGCCAGGAATCCACTCACATTTGCTTCAGACTGCACGACACTGGCAAATGTTTATGGCTTACTTTGCCTGCTCTGTCTGTTACTTTTCTTTAAATACAACTCTGGTCATAAAAAGTTTACCTGGACATTGCAGGTTTTTCTTAAATGCCACTGTTAAGGGTTGTGAAGCCGTGGAGAACAGAGATTAAGAGGCAGTCACAGGTATTATATGTAACTATGTTCTGCTGTTTTCGGGAAAGAGGGCCAGGATGATTAAGAACACTTCATATATTATGCATGGGACTCAGTAAACAAGCTGTGTTGTGTCATGATGTGCTCTGTTGGACAGAGCTTAAGCAAAACCTGCACAAATACTGTAAGGAAAGGTAGTTCATAGATGATGGTCAGACTTTTGGGGTCATGGCTAGGAGAAGGGTGAATGAACTATTTGGGGAGAAATGTCAGACCTGAGAATCACTTGTTCTCTAGGCTGTACAAATCAAAGCTTCTGTAGATACCAAGCAATCCTAGGTTGCTTAGGTTCTCTCCTTTTAAGTTCTTTCTAGGATTTCTGGAGTCCTGCCATGGTGATTGGATAAGTGGTCCTCAGTGGGAGTATTCATTGTTTTCATAAAGTCATTTTTGTCTAAAAGTACCTCTCCTGACAAAAACAGATCAGAGTTTTGTGGAACTGCTTATAATTTTTGGAGCCCTTTTAAAAAAAAACACAAAATAAAAAATTAGCTACAAATGTGAATATTTGTTTAACATAAAGTACATTGAATCAGAAAATTTAAAAACCTGAAGATTATCACATTGCCAAGCTTTACATAATTGGCATTATATTAGTATAATTTCTATAGTTATTCAGTTTTAGTTCTATTTTTATATTGGTTCAGTGCTCACTACCAGTCATCCCAGTTTCTCTATTTCATCTATTACCTACTTTCTTTCTCTGAGTAGAATTTTCAAGGAAGGTCTGTAAGTACTGCTATCATGCATTTTTTTTTTCCACAGGAAGGCTCTGTTAGTCTGTTTTCCCTTTCCAAGAACTGACTGACTGGGGGTACTACCAATATTAGATTTTATTTCTTTTCCATAGCTGACAAACTGGTCACTTAAGCCACCAGTCTGCTAACTGTTGGAGAAGGTCACTTAAGATTTAACCTCTGACTGACCTGAGAGCTGGACTTCCTAGGCCATCGGACACTTCCTCCTTCCCTTGTCTTTGCAATGCACATCCTCCTACTCTTCCCCTGCCAAGAGCCGGTTCAAGGGTGTCACAGCCTTGCAGGAATGAACGGTTGTGGAGATCTGGACTGAAGGTGTGATTAAAGCTAATTAAGGCCTCATCAGTTGAAAAACAATGTTGACTTGGTGTTTCATTACAAAAAAAAAGTTTATTTGAGGAAGTAGAAAGAGTATCAACGCAGTACGCTGAACCTTGGCAAAGCCTTGGTACACTCTGGCCTGCTTACCTGCCTCGATGGAGAGGTATTTATAGAACGGAAGAGGAAGTTACGCAAGCTGGAAGTTAGTTACGTGAGCCGGAAGTTGGGTGAACTGGACCAGCGCTTTCTGATCACCTTAGACCCCTTTCTATAGAGCTGGCTCCTGGGCGCAGGGTTCTCGCAATTACTTAGGGTGCGAGAACTTCCCTGTGTCCTAGCTCCTTCCACACACCCTCCAGGCTGATAACGTTTATTACAAGTGGCCTTATCAGCCTCTACGCATAAGATGCTGGCAGCGAGGTGCAGAGATCTACTTATCTTGCTGCCATTTGGGACACACTTTGTAAGTAAATTCCCTTCTTTTTAAAACCACCTTTTTTCTTCAGCCTCTCCCTGTCCTCCACAAACAGGAGCGAGTTTGTAAAGCAGCATTAACAGATGAGTTTGTTTTTCTCAGTATATTTAATATAGTTGATTTTGTTGCTGAAATTTAAAAATTGGGAGAATTAAGACAGGCGTTTGGATTTCTGGGTTTTGTTGAAAACATCAAAAATCTGGTAATGTGACATCCTTTTACTGGTTTCTCATTCCCTGAAAGGAAAATTGGCAGTGTTTTGATTGTGTGCTCTTCGACTTTACTGAATCCAAAATGTTTCAGTCACTTGTATGCCCTGCCTCATCCTTGTGGGCTTTAGAGTTTGCAACTCCAACCTTGCGTTTTTGTTTTTTTTTTGTCATTGCTCTATCATCTCGTAGTACTGAGTATTGAAGTAGTCATTTTACTATGACTCTACCATTTGTTTTTCATTGGGCTTGATTTATTTGAAATATTTATTCTCATGTTATATTTCATAAGTTCATATTTCAAAATACCTGACTGTCATATATTTTGATAGATTTTTTCCCTTCAGGTTATTATAGATATTGCTCTGTTTTCTGGCTTAGTATGTTGCTGTGGAGAAGTACGTAACCGACCTGATTTTCCTCCTTTTCGTCGGCGTATTTTTTTTCTATCTGGATGGTTGAAAAACGATTTCTTTGTCTTTGAATCTTAATAATTTAGCCTGGATATGCTGCAATGTCGACCTTTCTTTATCTTTTTCCAGTGTAGAGGGTCTTTTCTTAAATCTGTGCTTCTTTTTCATTTCGGGGACTTTTTAATCTTTCTGAATATTTCTTTTATTTTCTTTCTTTTTTTGGATCACAATTACAGGGCATAAAATATCCTGTTATTTTGGCCGTCTCCTCTATCAGTTTCTTTCTAACTTGCTTTCCGATATTAATATTTTCCCAAGCCTTTCCTCTATCCCACTGAAATATCTTTTAGCTCCTTTTTCTTGCACTTTCTAGGTCATTGAATAGATGTGTGTAAGTTCTAGTGGTGTTGCACTCTCAATTTATCTCTACAGACTTTCTTTATATCTTTTCCTGTTCTATGAGATTTCTTTTTCTTTTTCGTATTCCCATTAAGTTCTTTCACACTAGGAATCAAGTTCTGCTCCTGGAATATGTTTTCTTTCCCAGTAAGATTTTTCTGTCTCTTTTGTCAGCCATGTCACGTTTCCTCCTTGTGTTTTTGTTGTATTCAAGCATAACTGCAATGCCATTTCTTTTAATCCTGCTCATGCTTAACACGAGCGGCGTCCAGATCTTTGGTTTGTTTTGGAAGTGCATCATTGTGAGTTTTCCAATGTGTTCTTTCCGTGAGGTCTCCCGACTTTGTCTTTCTCTCTCAGAGCTCCACTTTGAGGCCTGGCTGTTGCTACCACTCAGTTTTTCTCCAGCCTTAGGTGATGAGAGTGGGGAAGGTGGAAAACTCAGACTCTGCTTTTTCTTCTCTGATGTGGGTAGCTTTCCTGACTCACAATCCACTCCCTCTAACTGGGTATGTGCTCTATTTCTGAGGCCTTGAGATCAAACTTCTGGTTTGCATGTGCTGTCCTGAAACTCATGCTTCCACTAGAGAGAGTTTGTTTAGTTTATTCATTTTTCTGTTTCACTTACACATTTCTTTAGCAGTTTTTTACATATTCAGCTGTACTCCTAAGTTACAATAGGAAAAGATAACTCTGTGGGTTTTAGCTTCATTGTCATATTACCTGGGGTTGGGAGGAGGGGGAAGGCAAACGGGGTTTCACTTTCTGCTTAAATCTCTCCACTTCTACTTGTTGCAGACAGTTTTTATTTTTTCTCATTTATTTGCTCTTTGCCTTCATCTTTGCACTGTATTGCTGGACATCTTTAGCACCCTCTCCCTCTTCCTCCCCAGGTAGGAGAGGGCACTGCCTGGCAGTTTGCTCCTCCTCCCTAGTTCCTTTGGTGGAGATGTTTGTAAAAGTGGACCTTTACTTTCTTGTCAGCCGCCTGCCTTCCCAGTTTCTCCTTATTTTTAGAAATATCAGTAACACTTTCGAGGACTTGGTTGAATCATCTCCTTTTCCTACCATTTCTTCAGAAGGGTGCAGATAAGGTTAACTTCCTAACCAAATAAGCATCTTTTATTTATTCACTTGGCCGTCACTTTTCAAAATTTATGTCATGTGTTGTCATTCCTTTCATCAAGTGTTAAGAGTATGCAGATTCTCTCATTGTCTACCATCTTAACTGGAAAGTCTATACTATTTTGCCATATTTTTTCTTGTTTTTTTTCTCCTTTGTCATGAGGTGGACCAGTATGTGTTTATTTATTTAAATTTTTTTCTTTAGTAAATTATTTAAAAAATTGAAAGCATGTTGAAATAAATAGATTTTACATTCTTTATTTAGGGTTGTATTATTAGCTTTGTAACACATTAGACCACAATTTCTTTTTGAACTATTTATGTAAATATTGCTACCAGATTTATTCTGGTTTTATATAAAGACATGGGACATTGAAATATTTTTAGGAGTTCTGAAAGAGTTTAAACAGCATGAAAATTATTTCTTTCTTGAAGTTTTTATTGAATGTACTGTTAAAGAAAAAATTCAACTGAGGAAAGTTTGAAGATCTAATTGTCTTTATTAAGCCATTCATGAATAGGGCAGCATTCATACAGCAAATAGAAGGGTACTCCAAAAAAACTGGACAAAAATGGAAAGTTTTTTTTTAATAGGAAAAGGGTGTGACAGAGGAGTTATTAGCAAAAGAAAAGAAAAGGATTATTTTTAGACCAAGACATCATCTTTTTTTGACTGCAG